ACATATATATGTCTTTGTGGTGACTCTGAATGTTGATGCCCCGACATCATCCTTTGGGTAGCATGCTAAGAAGTGCATACCCATAGACATATGTGTTAGTGTAGCATGGGTGTGAAGTTGCGTTGTCAGCTTGTCGTAAATGATCGTGACTACCAGTGCTGAGGCGCCAAACATTGCCTTGAACTTTCTAACAAATAAACGATCATTTACACGTCTACAATTCATGTAGCAGAGAGCTGTTTGTTTAATAATGGTCACAGATGTCATAGTTCAAATAGAGATCCAGACAATGTAGGTGAGAGTCACAACGTATGCACAATTTTGTGTATATCGTTTGCATTGGAAACGTAGTCCTGTACCATAAGCCTATGCTTACTCTGAGGTAAAATGTGTTGCAACGCGTACAAAACTGTCTGAATTTGTAGTATTTATATTTTAGGGGTACGCATGTCTTGGGGAATTTATGAAGGGAGGTCTCGTCTGAGGATTCGAATCAAATTGATGACACGCAACTGATGTTAAATATCTCAAATTCCATTGATGCAAATTTCAAATTAAACCAATGACATGCAAGTCGCAACTGATGTTCTCTCAAATTTCATTAGTACAAATTACCGCGCCTCGATCTCCTAGTAATTATAAGTCAGTATTGGATTGAGTTTTGTGGCCACTTGACTTTTCCTAAGTACAGGGCGTTCAGAGCTTCATAACCTTCAACAATTTTCACATTTAAACAGTTGCGCACGCAACATCTTACAAACACACTCGGATATTTAGTCGGATATGGAAAAAAAAGAACAATTGTGAACCTAATGTTGCAATCGTGTTTTTCTTGGACATCGAATTATAATGTATGGGTGAAGATACTTGATTGCGTAAGAAATGAAACAAACAGGCTTATATACACGCATTATCGCATTATGTGCCATATAGAGCTGCAGTGTACTCCTAATATATGGCTGTGGTTTTGTATGTGTTAATGGTTTTGAAACCATATTAAGTTTCCGAGGAGACTTGTGTTTCATTACTGATAGACAGGTCAAGCACTAAAAATTATCCCGGTAGACAGACAGTAGTGTCTCAAATAAGTGGCACGCCGAACTTTAGTACAATAGGCCACGATCTCGGATAACAAGCTAGGTGTGTTGTGTGGTGTCTTCAATTTTCAAGATACATCTCAGTTGATAATGTATCGATGTTGTACAATCACCAGTATAAAGAAGGGTATTATAGTCATGTGTACTCTACTAAATCGTGATGGTCAATATCATATTACAAGAAGAACTCTGAAGTACATGAATAGACACAATCTGAGTGCACCCACAGTTTGCTATATACATGTATCTCGTCGGATAGTCAGTTCAGGCACATACTACTCTAATACATAGCATATGCATAAATCACCAATATTTAATCTGCAAAAATTTAGTAATTTAAATATACATGTGTAAAAAATGTCACTGTACTAAAATAGTATCACTGTATTTGCCGGACAAAAAAAAACATATTTACAACATTGAACTCACACCCGAACAAACGATACGTACAGAGGCGAAAGTATTGTAAGCACATCATTACATTTGTAGCTGGACGTATCTTGTCTCTATGAGTGTGCGTGTGTGTGCAGTGTCGCGGTGTCAATTGTGATGAGTAATATTTCACTTTACATATTCATTCTAAAGTAAGTGAACGAGATTTAGATATTCACATCACACTACGGCATCAGCGAGCACATATTTAGAGTAGAATAAGGATACGTTTATAGTTATTATGCGGATTACTGTAACGATTAGAGTTCACAATATGTAAGTCGCATACAGCAAGTTGTGTGTATTTATGTATTAGGTGCGTTTCGATTACGCACAAGTACAATACAGTGTCGTGTGAGATGCTACTCTAGTATATTGTAAGAAATTTATAACTCAATTACGTAAGTTTTTACTGCAGTAATCACAGAAAGATACAAATCAGCGTCAGATTACCACGTAAAACAACAAGACTTGTTGTACAATATTGTCGACTAGTGTCTTGAAACGAGTACACGAATACATCTTGTTCTATCAAATCGACAGAAGAGATCTCCATAACGCTGTAAGTTCTCTTGTTGTAATTAAATCAGATAGCACATATGGCTATAAATTGTCACGGTTGTGTCTGAATACATTAAGCATAGTGATGGATATTTGCAGCAGTAACTAGTGCAAGCTGAGTAGTTTATAATCTGCACTTTACAGATCTGCTGTGTGTAGCTATAATCTAAATGAATGTTGATTTAGAGGTGATAAGTTCGTTGATCCCTAGTAACAAGAGCACGCACAGCAGTGACACTAACATCGATGTTATATATATATGAGCATACACATACGTGATATTTGTTCAGTAACAGTGTGCCAAGTTTGATTGAATATTGGTTAGTTACGCAGCAGTATGGATCACAAATTCAATTTGTAGACACACACATATTTGTGGCACTGTGAAAAGACCGAGCATACAATTATCACTGTACAAATTTAATTTTTGAAAATTTATTACATCAACATACCCTTCTATCGTACCAACTGCATGCCTTGAAACCTTACGTCTAGATTATCTGAATCCAAGTATCTCAATTCAGAACTTACAGGCAAGGATTCGGTCCCGTGCACCTCGCAATGACTTCAGCATTCCTCGATGATTTTTATATTTGCTGTAAGGACTGCGTTTGACAAGCTTCTGTAGGCCAACGCTTTCATATTCGCCGCCTGGAAGGATTCCCTCCTTGAAGCGATCGCCGTCTAAGCTCTTGAGTGCCCATCCATACTCACTCGACATGGTGTCTTTGATCTCGTGCGTGTCACACTATTAATGCCTCTTCCTACATAACAATACCCTAGTGTGGAGTAGCTCGCTACAATGTTGTATGCTGTTGTATTAGTAATTAGAGGCAAGTGAAATTCAAGTGGTTGCGTGTGTGTATATTATGTGCACACGTAAGATCGTCGGGGTCAGGGAAACAGGAGTGTAGTAAATATGAATTTTATTTTTTTGCGAGAGAGATTTAGATCAAAATCGAACCGCCAAAATATTAATACTCCAAAAATAGGTTGTATTCAGAGTCGGCAAGATATACTCAAATGAGGGCCCAAGTTGTCCTGGTTTTATGGAAAAAATAAATAGTGAATACAGTGCCATTCGCCGCACTTGCTAAATTTCCTCTAATAGTCCAATATTTTCGGAGGTTCAGCATCACATCGGGACTGATCGGTTCACGGAGATACAACGACACGCTCGAATATTGCCCATTTTTTGAGCTTTTATTGGCATTTACGGCTCGCTGTCTGGAGTCTCAACTCTCAAGAAGTCTGGGATTCTGGGCGCCGGCGAGCCGAGGACCTGAAGCCCTGAGGACTGAGCCCCGAGGCCAGAGGTGCGCGGCGTGAGAAAGAGAGAGAGAGAGAGCTGAGAGCTGACAGAGGCCGTGGCCCGCTATGGGGCGTGGGTCCTCTGGCTCTAGCCGCTGAGGCTCTGAGTCTATGTCTGAGCCTCTGAGCTCTGATGGCTGATAAGGTCGTATTTTTTAAACTATGTAGGTCCTCTCTATGTAAAAAAATTATATAAATACTTTTTATATATGTAATAAAAACAAAAAACAAAAAACATAAACTAAAACAGAACTTTAAAAAAACCCTTAATTTTATGCTCATAAAAAAAAGTGTATTTAAAAAATAATAATATTAGCTTGACCATATGAAAAAATATGAGGAAGAACGGACGAGCCCGAATGTATTTAGGACCAACCAGGTCTGAAATATTTGTGTAAATATATGCGACCAAAAAGATCCTGCGACACACTGCGATTCACTCGTCAGGCGTGCGATATTTTTTTTAAGTATCTCATCATCACTGTAACGATTAGATAATTAGATTTCCATGGTGAATAGTCTATGGAAGATTTATGTTGAAAAACAAAGGCTCAGAATAATTGTCAACAGAATCAATATGCTTGCTGCGTAAATACACTCTTGCCTGGGGTCTTAGATCTATAAAATTGCCGGGGGTGGTACTATCCAATAGTCTTCGGTATTTGTTTTATAACACACGGCTAAATTACACACATAGGAACTACGAAGAGTATTTCCGGGTTGGCTTGAGAATCTGCTATGTTCTGGTACATGGCAACAATGTGCGATGACCTGAGCTGTGCAGGATGTTACCTATGCGGCTTTTACAATAATTCTAGTCACTCAATCTATACCTTCGCACACGGACTGTATCTTTTGCTATATAAATAATACCTATGAACAATGGTTTTCATCACATTACATCTTGCAAACCATCTCCCGATTTCTCCAGCGTTAATCCAAAATCATGCAATTTACATCTGCTATTGTTCTGATCTGCGCCGCCGCTACGGTGCAAGCTCATGGATTCCTACGTAGCCCAACAGCCCGCGGTGGCAATTCCGCTGGCCCCTCTTCAGCAATCTGTGGCAAAGGAGGCACCGGAGCTGGTAATATTCGAGCAACATACGTTCAAGGTCAGACCATTGAAGTAGAGTGGGAGACAACTATCGCCCACAACAACGGCTTTGTCGAGATGCGCGTTTGTGACAAACAGCAGGTTTCCAATGGATGCCTGAATGAGAACCTGCTCAGACGCGCCGACAATGGCCAAACTCGTGTCAACAATGTCAACGGTAAGCAACGGTTCAGCGTTGAGTATCGCCTTCCAGCAGACCTGACCTGCCCAAATGGTTGTGTGATGCAGTGGTTCTGGGATACCCCAAACAACGGCGAGTACCATGGCTGTACCGATATCAGAATTAATCCCATGAACGTTGGTGTTCCCGACAATGGTAACAACGGAAATAATAACCAGGACATAGTCGAAGACGAAAATGATGAGGATGAAGAGGATGAAGAGGAGGATGGGCAGCCTCAGAAATCCGGCAATAATCCCCTGGAGATGGTCTGTTCCGAGCGCGTATCCGAGAATTCCTGTCGTGAACGCAATCGTCAGTTGGTTGGCAACCGTGCGTGTTGCAGATTTTCAAATAAGTGCCCCGGCTACGCTTCCTCCAAGTGCCTAGCCAACAGTTGCTGTGAGTAGAAAACCAAAACAATTCAGGCGATTGTGCTAGCTTGCAACTAAGCACAGCTTTTCCCTTTCGATTGGATCACGCACGATAGTACAACCAGGCGTCGGAAGATAATAAATGGTTTAGACAAGCTAAAACGTACGAGAATAAAGCGACCAGCTCAACGTCGAATTGCTAGCATACTTACGAGAACACTATAATGGCCAATTAAATTATGATTTTAATAATACTCCTATAAAAATGTATTTGAACCATATACAACTACATACACATTTGGAGAACCAGTGTTGTCGCGCGCGATATTGTCCGCATTCTCTCAAGTATAACTTGATATTCGTAGGAATGCGCTTAAGCATACCCACATAATTTGTCAGACGTTATTAGTTTTGGGGTTACGGTGCAGTCGAGGGTATCAGTCTGCTGCTACAATGATATACTGATATCTATTGAATATTATTGTCTGGCCAGAGTAGTAGTTCCGTCCGCTCTTCTTCAGTATTATCTGCGGCTGTGGCGGCACCTGAGCTGGTGGTATTTGAGCTAAATACGTTCAAGGCCATACTATTAAGGTGGAGTGGGAGACTACTCATGCTCACAACAACGACTTTGTTAAGATGTGTGACAATCAACAGGGTTCCTATGGGAGCCAGAATGATGATGCTCAGACGCGCCGACGATGGTCAAACTCGTGTAAACAACGTCAACGGCAGGAAACATTTCAGCGTCGAGTATCGCCTTCCAGCAGACATGACCTGCCCAAATGTTTGCGTATTGCAGTGGTTCTGGAATACTCCAAACAATGGCGAGTACCATCGCTGTACCGATATTGCAATGAATTTTGGTTTGTTGATAACCCCGGCAATGAAAATATCTGATAAGTTGAACAGGACGAGGAAGAAGAACAAGATGAGGAAGGAGAGGAAGGGCAGCCCCAAAAGTTCGATAGCAACCACTTAGAGCTTGTTGTCCCGAATGCGTACCAAAGAATTCCTGTCGCAAGTGCAATCGCCAGCTAGTTGACAACCATGCTTGTTGCAGATATTCTAATAAAGGCACCGGCTACTTTCCTACTGAATGTCTCAGCAATCATTGAGGCAATTCAGGTGATGACGCTATCGTGCTTCAAGCTTTTTCGATTGGATGGCTAACTTCATATACATTACCGAGCGTGTACATGAACCGTGTAGTGCATAGTACATCCAGGAGTAGGATGATAATACATGTTGTAGACAAACTAATATATCAGAGTAGAGACACCATCTACAAGCCGAATTGCTAATATACTTGAATCTGGTCGCGCGCGCTATTGGCCGCGCCCTCATGTGCGTAGTTTGATATTTATACGAATGTGCTCAAGAGTGCTCAAGCTTTCGTTATTGATGACGAAGAATATATATATGTCCGCGCAATCCAATATGTTATAAAATTAGGGTTTGTACCATTGTACAAAAGGCTTTGTTCTCTTTGCTGTGTCCCGTTCTAAATTGCTGCCGCCAATGTTTTTAACTATTCAGCCTTTTTCCTCAAGTCGACGTGCTGTCAGTTTAGAGGCGCTCTATAATATCAATATTATATACGGAGTTGTTCTCCAAGACTTAGTGGGGCAAGTTCATCAGGGCCAGCTTGTCTAATTTCCACACTAGCCAAGCAGCCGTAAGTTAAAACCGCAACTTCTCGACATTCCGACATGACATTCTGCGAGATATTTCTTCAGTAAGTTGGTACCGCCAGCCGCAAGGTAGCATATGGACATGCCATCTCAGCGTGTTGGTACACATTCAAACATTAAAATGAGTATATCTTCAACATGCAGCATTTGCGGGAAGTATGTATTGCGATTGTATTCAAGATACCTCGGTAACATACCCGATACCGCCAATGTGTTTCAATACATTTTATTTCATTACATATATATATATCGATCTAACATCACACTTGCATTTAGTATAGTTCACCTATAAGACATAGGAAGTGTCGAGAAATCTGGTAAAAGTTCTAAAGCTGCTATGTTCGGATCGGAATCCACAGCCATCGATTGTGCCCAAGCAAACGTCTGCATCGGCAGTACACCACGTGACGCCGTTGTCACCGGTTGTGCGGGGGTTGACTCGGCAGATGCCATGACAGTCGAAGCAGGTGACACCTCGAACGCGAGCAGTGCTTCCAACTCGATTGCTTCTTTAGCCTGGATCGCAGACCTCAGCGCATTCATGAGCTCCTGTGTTTCCGCCTCTAGCTGTTTGCTGCGCACCTTCGCCGTGTACAAACGCTGTTCACGGCATCTATTCTCCCAGGACAGCCGATGGGCTACTCGCTCCAGATAGTCACTGTAAGCCTTTGCTCGTCCTCTATTCTTCTTCGCAGCTTCCTTGTTTTGCAAATCACGGGACAATTCGTGGTGACCTCGTCTTACGACGGTTGTGGTACGAAGCTCCCCTGGGACTGGAACACCGACCACAACAGGCGGGCACTTCAGACAGAAACTATACCCGGATGAGTGCTGATGAGCTTTGGGAACTGGCGCCGCCGGCCTGTAGTTGTACACAGGAGCGATACGGTAGGGATGATATTGTTGCATAATGATTGTTGGTATCTGATAATTGTAAACTTCTTGTGGCAATACAAGAGACTCGTTGATGGTTGTGGGAAACGGTATTGCTGCCTCCAATAAGATCGTATTCGCTGGACTGCTCGTTGTTTCTTGGCTCGGCAAAACCAAAAAGAGACTGATTGTTTTTCTGACTTGTAAATTCGCTCGGGGGTTCTCTACGTTGTTGTCTGTGTTGGTAAGTTTCGGGATTGGTATCAATACACTGCAATTCAATTTCAGATTGCAATGCGGCGAGCTTCAACTCGGTGTTAGCTGACCAGGTTAGACTTGGCTGTTGCGTATGCGTTTTCGTAATCCTATTCGTATTCGAATTAGCCACAGATTTACTCGCCGATGATGATAATTCCGAGTTAGTTGTGTTGCTTGACGATGAGCTGTCTTGTTTATCACGCGTCGTTTGTTGTCCGTGGGCTGTCGTTGACGTCGCAGAATAATTCGCAGGCGTAACAGCAGAGGAAAACTGGATGCTCTGAGATAGAGCAACGTACAAAGCAAAAATAGTAAACGCTTGCATCTCCGCGTGAACCAAGAAGAGGAACGGCACAATGGCCGACATTTGAGCGGGCTCCACAGAGGAGCCCGCTCGTCGTGCCAAAGCCATATTTGGCCTCTGCACGGAAGCCCCCATTGTCGCTGCTGGGGATAGAGTGACGCTGGTGTTAACTAGTATTACGGGAAACGTGCTATTTATCGAGGTCGCAAATGCTTGATATGTGGATATAGATATTTTTGTGTGTCTGATGCGTACTTAACAACGAAAATGCAAGACTGAATTTCAATTACCCAACTGGGTTCGATTTATAGTTTTTCTCCAATTTTGTTCTGGCCGGTGCCCCACTTCTTGTCGGCTGGACCATGGCTTTTGGGAGTGGAGAGTGGAGACGTATTTACTATGAGATCAGTCTGTCAGAGTCAGCCGTCTCAAGACCGTCAGTCCGTCAGTGTCAGTCTGTCAGAGCCTCAGAGTCTCACTGTCTCAGAGGGTGAGGTGAATATCACATGCAAGATCCCTAAAGCCGAACTTTGTACGGTTGCTGTTTGCTGAGATCTCGGTTGTTTTCTGTAAAAAAACTATACAAAATGTACCTTTGCTACAAATTGCGACCGAAAAGCTACACACTATTATTCGTATGTAGATTGTATTTTGACTGGCTAAAAGGTTCTCTTTATAGATATACAATCATGATTGGTCGAATTCGTACGCAGATGAAAACGTACGTCCAGTAGTCTTCGTTTCATCTCTTTTGTACATGTGATGTAATTTTAGCGAGTGACGTAACATATACTTTTTTATAGAAAAAGTATCACAAAGTTGAGTTTGGAGTTTGGAGTTTGGACTGTCTACATAACATAACTCATAATTTGAATATATTATATGTACGAGCTTAGAAGAACCTCGCTAAACAGTTCCTCTCTTCTACTAGAACAAGTAGTCTCTTTTACTAGTCTCTACCCTACTAGTAATAGTCGACTGGGGTCTGGCAGATAGGTCCTGAACACCGAGTCCCGGTTTTGAGGCGCCTTGAGCTTCACTGAGTTGCTTCAATCCTTTTTATTAAATTATCAATGTATCATACGCAGATAGCCTCTTGCGTTCGGTTAAAACAAACTATTTTTCTCCCAGTCAATTTTAAATTTAGAGCACTATTTACAGATGTGCATATTGTCCAAAAGGGGTTTTTTAAAACATCCTAAATTTTATTCTAATCCTAGAGATGTATATAGATACATGCAGAGTTGTAGACCCGTGCCTAAGGTTAACGCCGCACAGATTAACGAGGCACCGATCTAACTTTCTCCTTGGCCCCATTTAAGTATTCGCCCAGGTTACCGTCCTTGAACGCCTTCAATTGCTCACAGTACGGCTTCCTGGTATTCATGACTCTCTCTATCCTTTTCGCATCTAAGTGGGCATAGATCGATGGGTCAGCTTGGAATAGGTGGTTCAGGATAGCGGATACGCAAGTATGCACTATAGATTTAGGTAGTTGCAACTATAATCGGTCATATTCCGGGTGTGGCGCACACACCATCTTTGCAGATAGCAGGACCAGCCGTATGCTTTCTAATGCATAAATGCGGTTAGTAATAGCAAATATTTGCGCACCTTTTGGTGAATAGGCGCCCGAAGTAAAGGCTGAAACGCGCCCGAAGTAGAGGCTGAAATTCTGCGGGATTCAATCATGGACAAATAGCAAGCACCCGCTAGATACTACAAGCTCGTTGTATTTGTATTTCGCCGCACTAACAACACCGCGTGTCAATTGCAAGTACGAACAGAAGTCACGACAACCACAACACGAACGCAGCCATAACATTGAAGTGTTTGATACACCAAGCATTGTTGTGTGGCGTATACCACACTAAATCTCTCAACACACCATTGTAGTACTTGGCCGCGTCCAGATTGCGCTTCATATTATAGTTCTCCGAGTTGCAGTGGTTTTGCGTTTTGATTAGCCACTCCTTCTCTACCTGTAGTGTTCGATGAGGGCACACGGTCGGTCAAGCCAATCTCAACCCCTTGTCAATGGGACGTTGACAGGAGCTGAACAATGATGCTGCGCAGCGCACTACAGATGCGACTACAGACGCATAGATGCACAGCACAGTGAGCGTATGTACCGTAGATTCTTTACACGGAAGTACATAAAAAAAAGGGATATGCATATACATTATACATGGGCGAACCAGCGGATATGTATCTATGGATACCGGATAGACGAATAGTCGTATGCATGCTATCAATTGAAAAAGTAAAACCAATACTAGCATTCACAGGTAGACAAGTAGACATTCACGTACAATGTTACAAGCAATCCTGTACGTCCATGTAGTAGCATGTATCCAAGTCGACCGTTTGAGCCCACTCAAAATACTGTCATCATACATACCGTCTCTTCCATGCGACTGAGATCTCGAGGTTTGCCCTGGAATTCTTGGTTGAAATTACGTCGTACAAAGTACGGCACTTCCCTGGTGGTGGTTCGCCTGGGCAGGGGATGGTCTGAGGTTTGACGCTGCAAGTGGGTGCGCAGAATGCCACGGGATGAGGAACCCATAATAAAGATAAAAAGAAAAAAAAACTACGATGGGCGAATTCATATGCAACAATCAGAAATAGGACCGAAGATAGCAGAAAAGACTATTTATATATTGCAGATTAATAAACAGCCATCCGTTGGTGTCTATGTAATGTAACGTTTTGGATGATACGCAACAGACCTGCCCAAACACACTTGTATACATCACATGTACGTGCGGACTCATTCGATACAAACAGATCACACAGAATAGACGCGCACTCCTACATGAATGAGAATGCTTGCCATCATACCATGCATATACAAACCGGGTGTACTCATGCGCAGAACTCAGAAGAAGTTCATGAACATTGTGCGTCGGGAATTGGTTTAGCCATGGATGCGTGAAGTTTAACCATGGATGCGTGAGGTTTATCCATGGATATGTGAGGTTGGTACCATCAGCGGTGCCTACTTCCGTCGCACCACACACGTTTGCAATACTAAAGAACAACGGGGTATACGGCGATACAACGGTGTGTGTACCTCCTTCCCCCACTGAAAGCTCATTCTTGCGAGGCAGAAGGAGATATAAAGTAATACGTGAAGTACACAAGCAATCGATACTGGGGTACATCATGCGTTTTGCGCTATACCTACCAGGTCAAACGGTTTGATATCGCTACCGCCACTCAGCATGGACAGAAGGAACATCAGCACGAACGGTAGTATGTGCATGAAACTGATCCCCGAGCCGTTGCTGTGACCCTGCTAATAGATCACAAGGATTGCGAAAGATAGGGAAAAAACTTGAGATGCCATGTTGGTGCTAAAAATGGGAATAATCACGCAGATGGGCTTGGTAGGAGCCTTTCTTGATATACGCAGGCGTACATATAGCCCACACAAACACACGAAAAAAGGAAATTACATATGCATTGAAACCAGGCTGAAGCCCATACGAACATGAATGCAATCCAAGGGGGTAGTACGATCGCACACACAAGGCTAAACGCACATGAAGACAACAACAAGCCCAACACACACACACACCGCTTGTTGTCCGCCAAATTGGAACGTCCTGAAGCCGGGTTGTTGGTGTGTGCGCCTTGCGCCACCACCGCCCCTCCTCAAATCCTCGGGACGCACGCCATTGAAGAACATCTGGAATATCTCCTCAGGTGTAAACGCCTACGCACGCGATGGAAAGACAGGGTGTGTGTAGTAGGGATGAGATGGCAGGGTGTGTGTAGTATACCGTGGGGTACTATCAGAGACACTTATGGGGATTATTATCTCGTGGCCGTATGCTTGAGTTCTCATGGGGGGTAGATAAGGCTATTGGTTCGATGATAACGCGGAGCTTGGTACGGCAAATCTTTGTTGTGACACATGCCAAACGCCTGCCACATGGGCACTACGTTGATCACAGTCTTCCCACAACGGCCTTAAGCTCACAAAATTATGTAAGCAACTTAACAGCAGCTGCAAGTATAAATATGCCATGAAGCACACACACTTATGTAAGCAACTTAACAGCAGCTGCAAGTATAAATATGCGTCCATTCTCGCTAACGTAATTTCAAACTCTCATTTCTCGCTTATTTAGAGATAACAAGGTATGTACAGATGTAAACTATGAGATGGCATCACATGCATGCATGGATCTGCGTGTGAGTGTATGTGATCCCAGGTGAGTATCTATTCGATGAAAAATACTAGTAGCCGTCCATGTATGTACATACATCTGTCCCAGATATGTACTACACTCAAACATACCGCTAGACAATATGCACATTCACCCCACATACATATAGATACAAATCTAGGCACACGCACACATACACAGCCCATGAGACCTATGTATTCGGTACCTACCTGTCCATACGCTCCTTGCATGCCTCCGCCGCGCGCGCCCTGTTGTTGTGCACGTTGTGCTCCCTCTTCGCCATACAGATCGTACTGCTGCCTGAGACTCTTGTCACTCAGCACTTGGAATGCCTGGGCGGATCAGGCAAAGCGAACGACAGATGAGAAGACATTCGAGTGGTTGGTATATGAAACAGGGATAAACTATGCAAGGGCAAAGCACTAGGGTAGATTTACATATGATAAGCAAATGTGAAGGGGATGCGAGGCAGAGGTTTTGAAAGAATAAGTTTATATCTCGGATTAAACAAAGCTGAGAGCAAATATGATTTTATTTAGAAAGAC